TTGGTAATTAAAATTTTTTTATAAAAAAAATTATAGACTTCAGGATGTCAATAATATTTTTAAAATTCCAAGATTAATTTTTAAGAATAGTACAAATGATAAGACTATTTTTTTTAATTTTTTTAATTTAAATAAACATTATTTAATTTAATTTTTTTTTAAAAAAGTTTAAGGATATTTTTAAAACGTCTCTTTTAAAATTAAAAATTTAAAGATATTATTAAAAATTAATAAAAATATTAAAATATAGAAATATTTTTATTAATTTACCCTCGGTATAATTTATTCATTGGTTTATTTAGGGTTTCTTAATTTAATTGTTTATTTTACCATTTATTAAAATTATACATTTTTATTATTTTTGTGAACAAAATATTTTTAGGGTCCACGACAAATTTTATTTTCAATTATGAAAATGAAATATAGACCTTTCTAAATAATAAAAAAAAATTAAATAAATATATAAAGCCCATTTAAATTTCGAATCTATATTGAAATTATTTTATAAAGCTATTTAGACAAAAATATTTTTATTTTAAAAAATATAAAATTTGAGGGTTTTTAGCCTAAATTTGGAATTTGCACATTCTATTTATATTTGTATTTAATATGATAAATTTTTGTTGTTACAAGAGTCAACGGATAATTTAATTAATATTATTAACACCACATTTATTATTAATCATAGTTTTGGGGTTGGTGAAAAGAATAATTAGAATTTAAGTAATCTTAATGGATAATTACGTACTTAATTATGATGCATTTTTAATATCCAATAATTTATTTGAAAAATATTTAATTTTAATGTCAAAAGTTTTTTTTTTTTTTTAATAAAAAAAATTACAAACATTACAAATGTAGTAAAATATTATTCATTGAAAAATTAAAAGATGAACTCTCGACCCCAAGATCCGTAGACGACTAACGACCTGTGACGTTACCTGAGATCCGTAGACGACCAACTACGCTGACGACTAACGACTCTAACAAAAACACGTGACCCGAGATCCGCACCTCGACCTGTAACGTTACACGCGATGCATCACCTTCCCACAACGACATGTGCATGTAGATGTCGACTCCTTTGGCTCACACGACTTCATCGGCTCCTCAGCTCAAAAACACGTTATTCGGCTTAGGTTGCACAATTTCTTACTGTTGAGGTCTTTATAACGTCCTATTTCCAAGTTCAAGTTGACATAGACTAGAAATGTGAATTTTTAATGAAATAAGATGGACGTTCTAATAGGAAGCAACTCCCAATGATACTTGGAAAAAATTCGAGGGACAAAATTCAAATGTACTAAAGTTTAAGGAGAACACCTGCTTAGGCCAACCAAGTAAGTGGTCTTACTATCGGCATAGTTAGAAATTGATATTGTTTGATGATACGTGCTCCGTGGTTATGCACGTGTCATATGCTTGATATGTGTGAAATGTTTATGAAATGATATGACTATGATATATTTATGAAATGATATGTTATTTTAATATTATGATACGTATTATGATGTGATGTATTGATGATACGATGTATGTTATGGTGTAACGCGTTTGGTGATATAATACATGTTGTGACATGTTTTATGATATGATACATGCATGATATAATATGATATGTCGAATGACATGTTATGTGCATGATATGACATATGACGATGTATGATGTGAATGATACGATATTCAACCCTAATACATGCCTTAAGGCTATGTTGTAAAATGATAGGATTTGAAGGAAAACGGAAGGAGTTGTATAACATGATCTAATGAATGAAAATGTTGGGACCTCATGCATCGGGGAATCTCCCCCTTTTCGGTGGTACGGATGCGTACATTATGAGGCAGGAAAACGATCATTATGTTTATAATAATGCTGCGACGATCACTATTCCTACCGGGTGTCCGACTATACCACTAGAGAATGCTAGCACGACCAGGAAAGAGGCCCAAGAGGCGTGTGAACCAACTGGTGGATCCATACTCGCACGTGTGGGTCGTGTGTAGAATAGTAGATACACATCGAATTACCCGCTTAGGATAGTCGCCTAAGGGAATATGAATTAAAAGGTTAGGTCTCATTCATGATTGTATTTGTTTGCATTTAACCCCAATAATGAGGTCACTTATAGAGTAATTTTTTTAAATACTCAAGCCACGTGCTACTTTTCAGGCAAAGGCAAGACACCCATGTACGGCTGACGACAACATCGCAAATTGAGACTATGACACATGCATAGGATAATTGTATTTAATTTCCTAGACTTTGGGTTAGAATATGGTGTTTTACTTTTAATATTTATTTATTTTATTTAGTATTTCGTTATGTTGTTTTAAAAGTGTTTTCAAATACTTAAGTCTATGAAATTATTTTAAGACAAAGTTTCAAATGATTATTTCCACATAAAATTATTAATTTATGTATATGTTAACGACTTCAATTAAGTAGAAAATTAGGCTCGTTACATTTAATATTTGAGTTTTATGAGATTTTCAATTATTAATGTAATATTTATTGTGGTTATGTGGATATGTATGTTTTTTTTAAATAATTATAAATTAAAAAAAAAACCCGACAACCTAACTCAACCCAACACGAAAATAAATAACTCAACATGAAAATAAATGGTTAGGTTAGGTCTAATTAATTTCTCCAATTCAACCGAACTCAGCTAAAAAAAAAGGATACACAAGCTTGGGCCAGACCTACAATAGGAGGATTAAGTGGCGTCCATCCGACCATGTGAGAGCCGAAACAGACAAGTGCCATGATGTGGCCAAGGAGGAGAGTGCATCATCCAACACACCAAAAAGAGTGTTCATTAAAGTCAAGTTAAGACATAAATAAGGTTGGAGAGAACCTTGTGAGACGAGCCAAATGAAGTCATAAAGAAGTCATAAAGAAGGTATGACTGCTAGCCAAAATCATGTTACTTAAAGATTAGAAATGTCTCAAAATGTACTATAGGGGAGGTATGGTATCAGCTTTCCACCACCTTTGAGCCTTGTGACCTAAGAGAGATACCCTGTGGTACATACGTGTATTACAATGTGGGTGAACGTTGTGAGACGAGCGTCTTCCTTTGAAATGAGTTTTTCAAGGACAATGTTAGACGACAAGGGTGTATCGACATTGTGCCCCAACCCATGTGTGGGAGAACTCATGCCCCGAAGACAACTTTGATGGATGGATGTTCAGGATGTCCCAATGAGATGAGCAACACATGAGTTGATTACGATATACATGTCCGAGCAAGCCAAGATGACCAAGCTATCTTGAGTCATGGGATGACATCATGATGCATGAGTTGTGCTGTTGGGAACCAAGATGATGATTGAGATGCAACATTAAACACGAGAGACATTGGCCTAGTGTAGAGCAAGCGACTATAGTTGTATACAATTGAACATGCATGCACGGATGATGTGTATGGCTGAACAAGCTTAGATTCTGTACGAGATATGTTCGGTTGGCAAAGGAGAACCTCGCCTAAGATCCAATGAAGCCACAACGCCGAACAAAAAATATATATGGGAAATTGGATTCTTTTTAAGGCTTATCATGAGCGTGTCAAAATCACGACGTTGTACATTGACACCAAGCTCGCATGTTGACGACTCTAGGGTTTTCTTAAATTCAAGTTGTTACACATAAGCCTCGAGGTGAAAAGTTAGACCCTCGAGGCGTAATCGTGATAGTTCTATAGCCTTGCATAATCGAGATTGTACCTCTAAGTCCTATTGCCATTGTCACAAAAGAAAAAGAAGGGGAATGCAGGGTGAAAAAGAAGGGGCATGGGGTACTTACCATGGCTGTAAAGCTAAAAAAGGAAGTAGAACTAATCTTTTAGCCGAGAAGCGGCCTAGAAGTGTCTACTACACTCGGCTATACATTTACTAACTAGCCCTCGTCTGGTCTCTGGCAAAGCTATCAATTTGTACACAAACCCTAACTTTATTTTGAGAGGGTGGTGTAGGAACAAGTCAGAAAGATTGAGAAATATTGAATAGAATTGTATGCATCGGGCCCTTTATGTGTCATATTTCGACAGAGGTTAACTGTACCAACTCAAGCGCAACTAGATATTGTTCTCTATGGGCTTTCCCTTTAGCTTTCCTTCAAGGTTTTTAAAATACGTGGGAGAAGTTTCTACACCCTTATGAAGAATGTTTCGTTCCCCTCTCCAATCGATGTGGATCTCACAATCCACCCCCCTCGGGGCCCAACATCCTCACTGGCACTCGTTCCCCTCTCCAATTGGTGTGAGATCTCACAATTCACTCCTTCCCCCTTCAGAGCCCAATGTCTTCACTTACACTCGTTCCCCTCTCCAATCGATATGAGATCTCACAATCCACCACTTTCGAGGGCTCATTCGTTGGCACACCACTCGGTGTCCACCCCCTTCGGGTTCAGCGTCCTTGCTTACACACTGTCCGGTGTCTCGCTCTTATATCATTTGTAATAGCCTAAGCCCACCACTAGCGATATTTTCCTTTTTGGGCTTTCCCTTTCAGGGTTCCCCTCAAAGTTTTTATAACACGTCTTTTACGTAGAGGTTTCCACGCCCTTACAAATAATACTTGGTATCCCTCTCTGATGTGGGATCTCACGTAGATTTGTTATTAGATGCGTAAGAACTTTTATTATGCTGTTTTAACGTCTTTAGTGATATAAAAGAGACGATTAGATTACAACGATGAGCAAACACGTGCACCTTTGGCAAATCTTTTTTTTTTCTTCATTTTAAAAGATGCTTCTTTTTTAGTTTGATTTTCTTCATTTTGTTAAAAGAAATATGAAACACAACAACCCTTTCCTCTTTAACCTTTGCCTTCTATTTGAACCATGGAATTTTATATGCAGATGGGAATGAAATGAGAATAATTAAATACTTGGCCTCCAAGAATGCTTTTCCATTTTTGTATACTCACTTTTACACATTATTATTATATAGTTTCGAAATCTCTATACTCATACCACGGCCAAGAACGCGTCCTTCATTCAAGTCGAAGCTCATATCGATATCGCCTAAACTGTCATACCCATGGAATCCTTTGCTTTGCTTCATGGCGGCTTACCGTCTAAACTTCCCTTGCTTAAACCTTCCCCTAGCACCCCGATGTCGGTGGTGCCTTCATGGCTCTGTTTCAACGTTAGGAACCCACCCTTTTCTCGACTATCGAATGGTTTAATATCGACCCGTGTCTCTATTGTGTCGACTTGGAATCCCAATACACGTGACATGTTATTAGCTCGTTGTGGGGATGGGGAGACGTACTCAAATGCCGAAGAAGACTCATTGAAGGCATTGCTAAGCTTAGTACAACCAAAAGAAAGTAATTCATCAACATTAGTGATTGCTTCCACCAAGGTTCGTTTATTTTTTAACCTCTAAATTATAAGAACAAATTTGAAAAGTCCTCTCAATGAATTAAAAGGATTTTTTTTTTTTTTTTTTTTTTTTTTTTTTTTTTTTTTTTTTTTTTTTTTTTTTTTTTTTTTTTTTNTTTTTTTTTTGTTTTTTTTTTTTTTTTTTTTTTTTTTTTTTTTTTTTTTTTTTTTTTTTTTTTTTTTTTTTTTGGTAGAATGAGGCATTGAAGTTGGTCGTCGAAGAGAAGTACGGTGAAGGATTGTGCCATACGAAAAAATTATGCTCTTCCGCTAAGGTTGAAGTTGTCTATGAGGCTCGGCTGGCACATCTCCAAATTCTCATACGTTTGGTAAGCTTTTACAACGCCACGAAATGAAACGAAGATGAGGAAGACTTACCAGATTCGATTTTTACTAAAAATTAAAATTAAAATTAAATTTAGTGGAAGTTGAAAAACTAAATTTAAATATAAAGTATATAAATTATAATAGATTAAGATCTAAATGTGAGATCTCACATCAGTTGAGGAGTTGAACGAAACATTTTTATAAGGGTGTGGAAATCTCTCTCGGGTGGATTGGGAGATCCTACATAGATTGGAGAAGGGAATGAGTGCCAGCGAAAACGCTGAAACATTCTTTATAAAGGTATAAAAACCTCTCTCGGGTGCATTGGGGTCCCACATCGATTAGAGAAGGGAACGAGTGCCAGTGAAAACAATGGAACATTCTTTATAAGGGTGTGAAAACCTCTCTCGGGTGGATTGGGGGATCCTAAGTGAAAACAATGGAACATTCTTTATAAGGGTGTGAAAACCTCTCTCGGGTGGATTGGGGGATCCTACATCAATTGGAGAAGGGAATGAGTGTAAGGGTGTGAAAACCTCTCTCGGGTGGATTGGGGGATCCTACATCAATTGGAGAAGGGAATGAGTGCAAGCGAAAACGCTGAAACATTCTTTATAAAGGTATAAAAACCTCTCTCGGGTGCATTGGGGTCCCACATCGATTAAAGAAGTGAACGAGTGCGAGTGAAAACAATGGAACATTCTTTATAAGGGTGTGAAAACCTCTCTCGGGTGGATTGGGGGATCCTACATCAATTGGAGAAGGGAATGAGTGCAAGCGAAAACGCTGAAACATTCTTTATAAAGGTATAAAAATCTCTCTCGGGTGCATTGGGGTCCCACATCGATTAGAGAAGGGAACGAGTGCCAGTGAAAACAATGGAACATTCTTTATAAGGGTGTGAAAACCTCTCTCGGGTGGATTGGGGGATCCTACATCAATTGGAGAAGGGAATGAGTGCAAGCGAAAACGCTGAAACATTCTTTATAAAGGTATAAAAACCTCTCTCGGGTGCATTGGAGTCCCACATCGATTAGAGAAGGGAAAGAGTGCCAGCGAAAACAATGGAACATTCTTTATAAGGGTGTGAAAACCTCTCTCGGGTGGATTGGGGGATCCTACATCGATTGGAGAAGGGAATGAGTGCTAGCGAGAACGCTCAAACATTCTTTATAAGGGTATGAAAACCTCTCCCGAGTGGATTGGGGGGCCCACATTAATTGGAGAAGGGAACGAGTGTCATCGAGGACGCTGGGCTATGAAGTGGGTGGATTGTGAGAACCCACATCAATTAAGGAGAAGAACGAAACATTTTTTATAAGGGTGTGGAAACCTCTTTCTACCATAGGCGTTTAAAACAACTTGAGCTAAACCATGAAAGAGAGAGCCGAAAGAGGACAATATTTAGTAGCCGTACACTAGGATTGTTACACTAAAATACAGAGACATTTTAACCTAAATATAATTTGAGCTTTACGTCACAACAATTTATTTATTATTATTGTATATCTAATTTCTTCCAATGTAGTGTGATAAATTAACATGTAATTTGGTGTTCTTCACTAGGATGAATACAACAAGGCTCTAGAATTTCTAGAGGAGAAGGACAACTTTCCTCAATCTAAAGCATTTGAAGCAACACTTTCCCTTTATAAGGTACATTCTTATTATTGTCATGGCTAAGTATGTGAATTTTCAATACCTCAACTAGATTGGACCCGACCTGACTCAACCCACAAACACTCCTACAATTTAACACGTTTTAGAGATCAATACAAACGAATATTTACCTAAATATAGTTTAGTGGGTTTCATATAATGTTGATTGAAAAGGATGTAATTTTGTGTAGGCTGTGGTTCATACGATGTTAAGCAAGAATGGTAAAGCAGAAGAATGGTGGAATACGTACCTTGTTGAAATGAGGAGTTCGAAGCTCATTGTAGAAATACAAATTCAGACGGGTTCTTGACGAGTGCTAAGAGCCGATTGAAGCCATTGTTGAACTTAAAATCATCCAATGTGAAACATGGCTCATTTGTTATTCAACATTATTCCCTCTAAGGTTATTCCCTTCTAGTCTTATCGATTTATTTTTCAATTATTGTGAAATCCATTAAACATTTTTTATAAAAGTGTAAAAAAAATTTCTTAACAGACGTGTTTTAAAAACTTTGATGGGAAACTCGAAAGAGAAAGTCCAAAGAGAACAATATATGCTAGCGGTGGACTTGACCGTTACAAACGATATCAGGGTCAAACACTGAACGATGTTTCAATGAGGAGGCTGAGCCCTCAAGAGAAGTGGACACAAGACGGTGTGACAGCAAGAATGCTGGCCTTGAAAGGGGTGGATTGGGGTGTCCCACATCGATTGGAGAAGGGAACTAGTGCCAACAAGGACACTGGACCCTAAAGGGGGTGGAGTGTGAGATCCCACATCAATTGGGGAGGAGAACAAATGATGTTGGTTCCCAAAGAAATGATGTAGGCAGTCGTGAATGGGGATTATGATGCAGTAAAATGCTACATGGAAAACTTATGTAACGAAGTAAGAGACAACCGAGAGGAGGCATTAGAGGCGCAAATCGCATATATCCAGATTCTTATATATCTAATAAGTTAATTTAGAGTACATTTCGAATATCTTTGGTTTACACACTTCTAAAAAAAATATATATTTTTTTTAAATAAGAAAGTTTTTTTTTTTAATTTTTTTTATTGCATTAAGTGATTATATTAATTATAAATATACTTTTTTTTTTCTTACCATATATTTGAAAGATTTTTAGCTGCTCACTTAATAAATTTTGTAATTTTATTTAAAAAAAAAACAAATGGTTTAAATTGTGTTTAATATACATGTTGAAATAATTTTAAATAATCTGTGTTTTTCTATAAAAAAAAAATAATGAATAAAAACATTTTTTAAAAAATTAGGTTAACTTAAAATATATATTTGTGTTTAATTTATTTTTGAAATTATAATTGTGAAATAAATTCACGAGTAATTCTTAATTAGGGAAAATATGAAGAAGCTTTAAAGCGTCTCGTTGCGATCGAGGAGGATTTCCCCGATTCCAATTTAGCAAGAACTTGTCTTTACAAGGTACTTACCCTTAACTCGATTTAGAAATTGGGTCAGGTTGAACTTTTGGAAAACTGAAAAATTCGAGTGGGTTCTCGGGTTGACATTTTTTCATTGAGTCAACCCAACAAACCTGAAAATAAAGTTACAATTCAACTCTACCCAAACTACTTTAAAGATTATTACGAAGATCGAAAAATATTTGATATTTGTAACAGATATTAATGATATTTTATGACTTGTGAATGTTTTATATTTAAATTTTATAAAAATTTAATTATTAATATAATATGAATTATAAATAAATAATATTTTCTTAAATAATTAAAAAAAAATAGTCCGAGAACCTAACCCAACTCAACCTGTATTTCGATTATTCTGGTCACCAATTCAATCAACTAATTAATGGTCGTTAATTAGTTTGTTAATACATATATAACGAAGTGACCGTAAATTATGCTAGATAAAAATATTTAAAATATATTTCGTATAGTTTATTAAGTGATTTTGGAAGACGAGTTAGCAATGTTTGATAAATATAATTTATTTTAATTTCATGCAATAAATAATAAATATTAATTTGAAGATTACAAATTTTCTTTCGGGTCTAATGACATAAAATTAATTAACTAAACTCGTTAATCAGTCATTTCCATTAATTAATTCTAAGTCAATCCACTATTATGCACCTCAGTAAAGGAAATGTACATGAATGAATCGAAATCACATTCAAATGAGAGCAATCTCGAGAATAGGATGATTAAGAAAGACTTGAAAGAATTGAAAGTTAGTACTTATATCAACAAAGTACACCTTTTTCACGATCATAAGAACTTCATGGTTAAGTGAGCTTTGCTTTGAGCAATCCATGTGGTTAATGAAGTCAAACCATGCTGGAAGGAGTCGTATTGGTCTGTGGAGATAGTTTTTACTCTTGGAAGCAAATGTTTTTTTTTTGTAATTTCTAATTAACTACACGTAAATATATTCAAGTCCAAAATTGGCTAAAAATTTATCACTTACGGTTCTTGATGAATGCCTGAACTTCTACCTCCAAATCGACTTGACTCTGACTTCCTTCATGAAAAATGTGTGAAAACCTTACAAGATCTGTTGAACACAATTCTCTGTGGAAAACACTTGTACTCTTTATTAAGACAATCACAAGACATTACAAGACACTCTGTACCGCTCCGTATTTCTTAGGATGATGAACTAAGTAGGGTGGATAGGTATTTATACTAGATGGTAGGCGATCTATTCCTAAAATGTAACGGATCAGATATAAAAAAAAAAAAAAAAAAAAAAAAAACGGAATTGTCGACAGGTTCGAAAACTCCGGCGAGTTCACACACGACCCACAAAGGGCAGCCGAAGTCTGGGTCACCAAGGAACTCGATCTCAACCTTCAGCCACCCCAAGACACCTGCAAAGAAGAAAAAATAAGGGAAAACGAAGAAGACAGAGAAAAATCAAACGAAACTCAGACGAGGCGAAACCCTACGAAATCGACGTCAAAACCTCCATGGTACCCAACAAAAGTAATCCCAGAGCCTTTTACATACATCGGGGGTAGAGTTAGACGAGTTCTACACGTTGTACACCGTCGGCAAGAGAGACGGACGTCGGATTTCCGAACCCTTCTAGATCCGGGAGTGTGAGGCCTTTACGAACCAAACCAATACCAAAAACGGAATTAGGGGCAGAAAGAGACTCTGGAGCGGAGGAAAAAGGACGTCGAAACGACATTAACGAGGAGAGTGAGAGGTCGCCGGAAAGAACTGCAGGCAACCGGGTGAAGGAGACGAAGTCCGACCTGAGGGCCAGATCCCGCGACCCGAACCAAGTCCAACCACCATAAGTCAGCCCAACACCCGACGACTCCCGTGGCCCAGTCGCCTCAGCCCAAACCCGTAAGCCCAGTTACAGCCTAACCCACCAGCCACGACCCGAGAACAAAAACCCAACCGACCCGAGACCCGCAAGCCCAAACCAACGCCCGACATGCACAACCCAGCCCACCTACACGTCCTTCAGCCAGGACGACCCATAACTTGCGAACGACCCGAAAACCCGTGCCTCGACCCGAGACCGCTGCACACGCATCGCCCTCTGGTTGTGCCACATGGCACATTTGTAGTGCGACACCCCTCGGCTCCAGCAGCTTGATCGGCTCGGCAGCGGCTTCTCGGCTCCAGCGATTTATTCGGCTCGGAAACCTATTTCTGACCTGTTTGGCACCGTTCCGACCCTCCCGAACCTAGCTTCGGCCCCGTTTAAGGTAAAATAGATCATTTTAAGGTTGTATTTCATAAATTCAAGTTGGAAATTAATTATGTTTGTGAAATACTAACGAAGGTGACGAATGATCCAATAGGAACCAACCACCAACGGAAGCGTAGAACGGTTACAAGGAGCTAGGAGCTTACATTTATATTTTAGGGAGTACTTCGGCTAAGGCCTACCAAGTAAGTGGCTCACCCGTCGTAGGTTACGCATTATTTGCTGTTTGTTGGCATGTGCCCGTAGATTCACACGTGTCATTAAATCGTATGATAGGATGTTGTGCTTAAGAACGTCATCATGTGAATGTGAATGTATGCTATGTATGATGTTTAGCCTGATGTGTTATGTGAGGGAGTTAATATAACACATGCAGAAGCAATTTGGATCTTAGGCACTCTAAGTACATCAATTATAGTAAATTAGCTTAAAACTCAATGCGTTTGAATACTAACCTTTTGTCGCTCAAGTTTCTTTTTCCTCACGAACCGTTTCGAACCACCACTAGTGTCTTCTCCACTATTCTCCGACCTTAGAATGAGATTGTGGAATCCGGTGAGTGACTAAACTTGGGAGGGATTTAGTATATATGAAGAGAGAGTTTGTGAGAGGTTTTTCTCAACCTTTTTTCCAAAAGCCAACCTTCCATGTACCATGATCACTCTATTGATAGAGTCATGTTTGCATGTTCATGCAAACGTGAGATCACCAAATTTTGACACTCAAAATTCCACTCAAATGTTTGGGATTACGTGGCAAGCATGCATGCTTGAGTTAACCAAATTTTGACACTCAAAATTCCACTCAAATTTGTGGGGTTTATTTGGCAAGCATGCAAGTTTGGTTAAACCAAATTTTGACACCTCAAAATTCCACTAATATGAATTTTTTCATTAAATAAAGTCAACATTTTGACTTTCTTCATTTTAATTCAACAATTAATTTCAAATTAAAGTAATTTTAAAAGATTAATTAAACTATTTAATTAATATTTAATATTAATTCAAAAGCCAATCCCTATCAATTCCGACACATATTTGATTAAAATATTTAAATCTTATTTAAATATCTCAAATTCTCTTTTTTTGTTTAATTCGTAAATAAAACAAAAATGCGGTTAAATATATCGTATATATGTAGCGCATATTCCCTAATTTGAATTCGAACACTTCGAACTCACTCGTCACACTGTTCTATTGTTTAGTTCGAGATGAGCTAGCAGAGAGACCTAATGGACCTATAGATCATGGGCTCCAACGATACAAGATTAACCAGTTAAACTCATTAACCTTGTTAATCAACAACACTCGTTAACTACTAGGACACTCCACTATAGCCTAGTAGTTGCACTCCTCTCACTATAGATATATTTCTGTCCATTTGATATAACTATGATTAGTAAGTCGATACTTCACAAGTTGTTCGTAACTAGAGTTGGGTCAATTATTCATTTTACCCCTGAAGTTACTTTTTGTTCCTTATGTCCCACTGATCCTCTTATGAACAATTGGTTTGTGGTCCAACCAGTAAACCGAATCCCTCTCAGACCAATGAGTGAGTGGGGCCTCTTATTCAAGACCTGGAGTTAGTACTTAAGGAAACTACTTCTCTTCTATCCCTAAAAGTGGGTAGGAACGAATTTCATCTTGCACCCCACGTCCCCAGCTATTCACCCATCTTACCCCTAAAATGGGAGGCCTATTGAGTCGGTGAACTCGAGTCATTCTCACCCATGCAAATCTAAGGATAATTCCGAATAAATAGGAGTTCATGGTTAGCTCAGGATTAAGATCGAGTTACCTAGGTCATCGAATGAAAAGAAAATCAGTCTCAATAGTAAACGACATTATAAAGTGAGAGTGATTTTCTTCATGGTCCGATTTTATGCAATACTCATTGCATAAGACGCCCTCACTCACATGTCTCCACATATTCAATTTAGTGATCACATTGTTTATATCATATACAAAAGTGGGTCGCATCCATAGTGTCCCTAGAATAAGGTACTTAGCCTTATCCTTATACTATAGATCATTTTGACTATATACTTGAACTTGATCCACTCTTATGTCTCTACATATAGTTCAAGTAATCATACTATAGCTAGAGTGTTCTTAGTTTATTGGATTTAGATTAATGATCGTAAAGTTCACTTTATTCAATAACAATCTTTACTGAATAAACAACAATAATAACTTTATTGAATATAGAATATGTTTTTGTTTACAAACTATGAGTTT